GTAAGAAACAAAGTGTTGTTGCTAGATCTAGTGCTGAAGCTGAATACCGATCTATGGCTTTGACTACATGCGAACTTGTGTGGATCAAGCAACTTCTCCAAGAGTTGAAATTTTGTGGAAATGAGTCGTTGAAACTGTACTGTGACAACCAAGCAGCCCTTCATATTGCCTCCAATCCAGTGTTTCATGGAGAACAAAACATATAGAAATTGATTGTCATTTTATTAAAGAGAAGTTGTTGACTAAGGAACTTGTTACTGAGTTTGTCAATTCTAATGAACAACTCGAAGACATTATGACCAAATCTCTAAGGGGGCCTAGGATTCAATTTATATGTTCCAAGCTTGGTGCATATGATCTATATGCTCCAGCTTGAGGGGGAGTGTTGAAATATATTGTATTTTATAATTGGACTTTTAGTTTTGGGCTTTTAGGTGCTGGTCCATTATTCCTTATATAGGACATTTTTGTGTAATAGAAACTTCAACACACAGTAATAATATTTTTACGATTAGATTTTCTCTCTCAAACTTTCACAATTAGAAAACAGGTAGTGAGAACTGCATCGCCCCAGTGATGCACAGGATAATTTGTATTCAACATCAGGGAGCGTGTAGTTTCAATGAAATGTCTATTCTTTCTCTCTGCAATACCATTTTTGTCGTGGAGTGTGAGGACATGTTGACGAATGTAAAATTCCTTGGAAAGATAAGAATGAAGAAAACCCTGCAGAAAAATATTCCTTAGCATTATCACTGCGGAGGATTTTAATTGTCTTCCCAAATCAGTTCTTAATTTCATTAAAAAGGGACATAAATATGGACAAAAGTTCATATCTCTCTTGTATTAAATAAACCCAAGTACATCGAGAGAATTCATCAATGAAGATTACCAATTAGTTAAAACCAAACAAAGTAACATGACTTGGTTTCCAAATATCACAGTGAATAGTTGAGAAAGGAAAATTACATCGCGTCTCAGACCTTTTAGGATAAGAAGATCTAACATGTTTTCTTTACTGATAAGACTCACAATCTAAGACTTGAAGGTTCTTGAGACTCGGAATTATCATCTTCAACTTGGACAAACTTGGATGACCCAAACGATCATGCAAAAGTATTGGGATGAAGTTGTGAAACAGAAAACTAAAGAGCTATGTTTTAAGAAATAAAGTCCTCGAGACTCATGTCCTTCTCCTAAAGGTTACAAAACAATTTAAGGAACAAGTCAATTGACTCAAGGAGATTAAATTGTAAGGACAATGAGGAATATACAAAATAAAATTTAAATTTAGTGAAGGAGATAAAGAAGCTCTGCCAATTCCCTGAGATGCCACTTTAGATCCATTGGCAACATTAATGAAATGAGGGATTTTCGGAGAGGACACAGAATAAAATGAAGGAATGTTACCAAAGATATGGGCACTTGAGTCAAGGATCCATGGACTGTGACCTTCTACAGATTCAGATATTTAGGCAGTTGAGACATTGACATGGAAGAGGATTGGCCAAGATTAGAAGATTTTCTAGACTTGTACCTCAAAAATTCTTGGTACTCTTCATTTGAAATTTTGGATTCTAGATCATTTGATTTAGAAACATGAGCAACTTTGTTTGGATATGCATGTAAGGCATAACATTTCTCTCGAGTATGGCCTATTTTCTTACAGTATGTGCATTGACGACGCATACTACGACCACCACATCTTTCTCGATTGCTTCTGTCTCCACCTCTTCCTTTTGATGCTACCATAGTTGATGTTTCAATACCATCAATTGAATTTTCGTCTTTAACTGATGAAGGTACCTCAAGAAGTTGGGTAACTAGGTTGTCCATTGATGGGACTTGATCACCAGCTAACATTTGATCACAAACATGATCAAAATTTGAGTGTAGACTTCTTAAAATTAAGACCATGTAAAACTTATCAAGCTTCTTGTTAATGCTTTTAAAGAATTAGCCACAAAGAAATTCTTCAATTCCTTTACAGGAGCACGAGCCTTTCCTATGTGAGTGACCATATCATGATTGGCTTGTTTGAAGGACGTCACTCTTTGAGTTGCATCAAAGAGACGTTCCACATCATTAGAATAGATATCTTGTGCTCTTTTCCAAAAGAAGGAGCACGTTTTGTAAGGTCTCAAAATTTCTAAGACCTCTTGTTCGACAGATTGCCATAGGACAGCACATAATTGAAAATCAAGCTTCTACCATTGAGATTTCTCTTCATCGAGTATAGCGGAAATATCTTGTTCAAGATGATCATGGTATCCTTGACAAAGAAACAATAACTCCACGGAAGAAGACCAAGATAGATAGTTTCTCCAATTGAGTTTTGCAGATGTAATGGTAGGGGTAGCAAATAGAGAAGGTGTTCTAACACCAGAAGCCATTCTAAGGCCAAACAGGAGAGGGAAATCTGATTTTGATGGTAGAAACCCTATATCGGAGCTACTGTCAACGAAACAGCAAAACAACAACCACAACACACTCAGGAGACTGAGGCGAAACAATCGACAATGGCATGATAATGTTCCAGCACTAGAAAGGCGGCGCGTGAAGCCCACGCGCCTGAGGATGGCCGAAAAGAAGCAGTGTGTGATGATGCGTCAGGAGGAGAATGAAGCGACGACCACCAGGGATGGGTTGCGCTCATTGAGGCACACCTAACCCTTGATTCGCCGAAGCAAAAGAACTGCGGCAGCGGTGGTGGTGGTGACGAACAACAGTGGCGGTCAACGAGGATACCAACTTAAAGAGTTGGGAGAGAAACTGAAATTTTATTGTTTTTGTTCACTTAACCCTAAAACACCATATTTTCCTCTTTATAAGGGATAATAGTTCAACATACAAAGGAAAAACATAAGGCTTCTAAAAATCCCACTAGAAAATACATTATATTTCAACAGAAACTTATGGGCAAGCTCATTTACTTAGAATACACTAGATCTGACATATCTTATATTGTGAGTATAGTTAGTGCATGCATTATTCAATTGAGACATTTACAGGCTGTGAATATAATCCTTCAATGTTTGAAGACAAATCCAAGAAGGGGATTGTTGTTCAAGAGGAATGAAAAGTTAAAAATGGAAGTGTAAACTGTGCAGATTATGCAGGGTCTACTATAGATAGGATATCCACCTCAAGATATTCCATGTTCTAGGGTGGAAATCTGTTGACTTGGAAATGTAGAAAAACTAAATATTGTTGTAAGATCTTATGCAGAGGCTAAATTCCAAGCTATGCACATGGAGTGAGCGAATTGCAATGGCTCGGAGAATTATTATGAATAAAGTGACAAATGAAGAGTCTGACTCTTTATTCTGATAATAAATCAACTACTAAGATTGTTCACAATCAAGTTCAGAATGTTGAGACTAGGCACATAGAGATAGACCAACACTTTATTAAAGAAAAACTAGATGGTGGCCTTATCATTGCTTTATGTCTCATTGGGGCTTTAATTAAAATAGTTGTTCACAAAAAGTCTTCCTATTGAATGATCATCCATTCGATAGCTTGACGAGGAGTGTTAATTCAAGAGAAAATATCTTTTGTAAGCTACAATAGGATATTGACATATTGTAATTAATTACAAGGGTACTATTGGAAGATTCTAAAAATCTCTTTGGAATCATTACTTTAGGGTTAGAGTTCTCTATATATAGAGACTAATGTACTTTTTCGTTGAATCAATTCAATAAAATCTTTTCTCTCATACAGTTTAATCCTTTTCATGTATTACTGTATCAAAACATATAATAGCATCAAGAGAATTAAGAAGCACACAACAAGTAAGCAAATAAAACAAGAGTAAACTTTCGGTTAATATCAACGTTTACTCCATGTATTTGTGGTAGGGTTTTGGCTATTGGATAAGAACGTCTTACCCCATAACAAAACAGGCCAAGTGGCGATTTATGGTCCCAGGAATCTTCTACCAAGTCAGCATGCAACTTCAAAAGTGATTCATTTTGGCTGGTTTGATCATCAGCTCCCTTCGTAACTTCTTCAAACATAATTTCACAATTTTTTTGAAGAGAACTGTCACTAATAGGTCCATCGTCTAAAATCTCTTCCTGCTCTTGAGACTTCATTTTCCGTATTTCTACATTTGGAAAACGACCTACACCAACAAATCAAAGAGCAAAAAGTCATGTGCCAATCCACTACAACAGTTTAGTGTTAGAGTGGCAGCTTACCAGAAAGAATAGCATCTACAGTTGCTTCAAGGCTACGATGAATACGCAATTCTGTCTTTGAAATAATCTCCACTCCACAACTAAATGTAGATGGGCCTTTCCTCTCCAATACAGTCTTCTGAACACCCCTGCGACTGGCCTCTTCATCCCCGAGTGTCACGCTCTAAAAAATGATAATATAGCTTAAGTAACCAAAAAGAATAAATATGCCCATAATATAGATGCTCCTGGTGATTGTAAATTCAATTATTAAAACATGAAGCAGAGAAAAAACATTTACATATTTTTTTTACAATGCTACATCACACTTTCTGAACTAGTGCAGTAAGTTTGTAACTGCTAAGAGACATAATATAAAAGTACACCATGTGTCTTTCACCTAACGACCTAAAGCTCTGGGACAATTGGATGACAATTGGCATCTTCGTTTTTCCGAGCCATCAGAAGCAATATATTCCAGACTCAATTATGTTACAATGTAATTCCTATCACACTCACATTGATACTGATGTAGACAGCCAACAACTCTGGGTTTAAGTCACACCGTCAACACCATGTCACTTTCATTCTTGTGCCACTAATCCATTTCAGATTACAAAACACATTACAGATCACACATTGGCAGAAGTTAAAATACCAAGTGTGTTTAAGCTTTAAAAAAATTATTGTCTTGACAACTCATTTCAAAATAGGAGCTAAATCTAATTCAATTAAGAAATACAAGAAATCAACTAGTCATCCTGCTTAAGATGTAGGTATACTCACCTGTATCCCTCCAACAAGCATCTCTAAGGAAGGATTCATTATAAGATTCTCAATTGTGATTCCATGAGCAGTGGCAACAAGCTGAATCCCACGTTGTGCAATTGTGCTTGCAGCCATTGCTTCATGTTTTGTACCAATCTCATCAATTACAATAACTTGTGGCATATGATTTTCAACTGCTTCTATCAATACCTGAATAATTACGTACAATAACCAAAGAAATGTGGTCAATTTATAACTATGAAAAATCCCTTTCAGAACCAAAAAGAACCTCCTTTTAGGATCTAATGGATACAAGAAGGAAAGTAAAATGCAAGGAATGGAATGAACAGCACCCAACCAAGAACTATTTCTTCAAACAAATCATTCTCTACTTGTTTGCTTCCCACAAACAGCATACACTTTGTGATAGGCCCTGGTTAGTTTACAAAAGGAGAGAAAGAATTAAAGAACCTAACTGTCTTAACAGCTAGGGGGGGAGCGGGAAAGAATTGTATAAATAACCTCTGTTTAGCAGAGAAAGGGGTTTTTTTTTGGCAGTTATTGTACAGACAGGTTCTTTGAACCTTGTGAGGGAGGTTATGCTCCCAGACTATTCATTGTACAGGCTATCTCTTGAGAAATAACAGAATTCTTCCATTCATCTTTACATTCTGTGTGTGTGTGAGAGTGTTTTGGCTAGGTTTCATGCATAGAAACCTAACACTTTGCTCTATATTTCACAGCATGAAAAGCATATTGAATTTTTGTAACTTGTGAAAAATTATTCAAGTACAAAGCAAATTGGAATAATTACTTTCAAAGAATGAATTTTAAGCCTAAAAGAAATATCTTTCGTTGGTGCAAAGATATGCAAATTTCTAATGACAGCACGTAATTGAGTTCCATAGTTCCTTATAAAATTATTGACTAAATATATAACAATATGGTGAAAATAAAATTGTTTCAAGCACCACCTGAACCGAAAGCATCCTTGTTTCAAAAAGGAGAGGGTGGGCTATTCACATTTCATTAGATGATTAGAGGCAAATTGAAAGCTAAGCTGAGGTGAATTTAAGAATTCCCCAAGGAAAAAAGAGAAATATCTCCTATGTTAATCTTACAATTTGGAAGTAGCAACAAAATTTCAGAGTCGTTCAACCTGACTGATTCACTGTATTATAAAGAATGTACACAGAAAAAGGTAAGAATAAGTTCCAACCGCTTTCAGAAGCATTATCAGTCACCACCAATAATATAGTTACACTTTCAACATACAGAAACAAGAGATTCTGCTCCAGCAATTACACCTAAAATACCTTATGTTGCGCATCAGAGTTGGGAACTTGCATTCGTCGAGCATTGCCTATTCCAGCATGAGGTATATCACCATCACCCCCGATTTCGTTGGAGGTGTCCACAATCATCACCCGTTTCTTGTAATCATTTGCCAGCATCCTAGCAATTTCCCTAAAATGTAGAATAAAGTCATGTTTAGTTCCCATGGGTAAACGAGTATAATAGTGATAAGGGGAAAATGCGTTTAGTCCGTGTAGTTTTGATCATACTTGGTTTCAGTCTAGATACTTTTAAATTAATAAATTAGTCTTCAAACTTTAGAAACAGATGTGAATTTAATCTCTTCTCTAACTTTGCGGAATAAAAAAACTAATACTAAATGTTAAAGTTAAGCACATATAAAAACTAGTTTCAAATATTTTCAAAAGTTGGAGATTGGGTTTACTAAGTTTAAAGTGAAGGTACTAAAATAAAGTTTGACAAAAGGTATAAGGACTTAAAACAATGACAATTCATGCTAATGTTCATCGCAAACCTTCCGAGATCAAAATAGGTGATTGGGTATATCTAAAAACATTTGGCCACATAGACAGTGTTCTATGTCCAATAAGCTATATCCCAAACTTTCAGCACATTACTATGGAACATTTTTGGTTCTTAAGCAAGCTGGAGAGGTGAATTTCAAATTACAATTATCACAACAAGCTCGAATTCATCTTGTGTTCTAAGCATCTCAACTTAAGGCCATTAGGGCCATTAGTGGATGTGGTTCTTCCTCTAGAATTGCAAGGCACTCCAAAAGTGTTCATCCTGACCTCCATTCAAGGAAAACATACGAAAGGATGTTGCATCAATACAACAAGTGTTAGTGCAATTGAAGGGGAAAAACTTCTGAGGAATTTACAGGGGAATATTTATCTACTATTCAAAATCAATTTCTCGATTTTAACCTTTAGAACAAGGTTAATTCTGAGGAGCAGTATTGATTGACAGAGACAGATACAACATGTTGACAATATGGCAGGATTGTTGACTTGTCATAGGAGGAGGTTTAAAAACAATAACTAAGAATACATTTGTAAGGTAGTTTCTACATGTTAGTGTTTGCGAAATACCCACTTTTATAAAAAGTTTATGGTGAAAGGGGGTAGTTTTTCAGACAATTTGTTTTGTAAATGGATTAAACCAATGGGAAAGAGAGTGCTCCTTTGTAGATTTTATTGTATGATTTGTGAAATTAAAGAAGCTCAGATTTACTTTTCTTTGTTTTCTCTAAAATTAGTGTGATTCCTAACCCCAACGAAGGCTGCATTTTAGGGTTGACATATCAATTAAGGCTCTGTTTTAGGATTTACACAACAATGAAAAGAAGGTTGTATAAAAAATTACACGATCAAAGGCTCCCAAGGAGCAGGAGCTGCCCAAGGATCAGGAGCTTTGTGATACCATCTCAAATTTAAAAGAAATGAATTTCTCTCTTATACAGTCTGATTACATACATATGATATATATATACAGATATTAATTGGATAAAATTGGAAATAAGTACTAGCCATTCTAGGAAACAAATTCCTAAGAAATTAAACCAATATATAGAATTAAAAACAATAGGAAACAAATCTAAAACATCCTAAAATATCTCAATGGTATACATCATAGAACCAAGAAGTTGACATGTCGACAAACATCCATATAAGATTGTTCCTTCACCATCTTAGAGTGCCGATCACTTAGCTCGTACTGTTAAGCCAAAGATATGGAAATAGGTTTCAAGTTGGACATGCCAAACTTGTCAAGAAATTTTTCAGATACGTCTCTTGACTTGCATATAGATGCTTCTGATCATGTCATCAAATGATCTCAATCCTTACATTCAGCTCAGTCTTAACCTTATGAATCTCAAACTTACTATTGCTAACTATAACAATACCATCATCAGCAATACTATGAAACAATCATCTATTAGAAACTAAAAGTAAACACATCCTATTTACCCACTCAGAGTCAATGCTTTCAATGAATTCATCAAACCTCTTGTTCCATTGCCTAGAGGATTGCTTCATGCTATACAAATATTTGTTTAGCTTACAAACAAAGTCCACCTTGTCTTCAACCACAAATCCATTTGTTGCTTCATGTATATGATCTCTTTTAAGTTTCCATGCAGAAAAGCCCTCTTAAACATCCATATGTTCCTGCTCAAAGTTAATCATCTAACGGATTAGTGTTTCAGCATTAAAGAGAATACATCATGATAATCAATTTATTCATTCCAGATGCAGCCTCTAGTCACTAATCTTATCTTTATCTCTTCTTATCAGTTCTTGGAATTTCATCCTTGCATTTGCAAATGCATTTACAACCGACCAATCTAGAAACCCCAAGTCTATGAACTAGGGTCCAAATATTGTTTAAACCAACCGAAGTCATCTCTTTCATGGTGTCTAACCATTAAGTCTTCTCCTCATTTGTTAGAGTAGATGATAGCAACTACTTAGGGGAATTCAATAAGCTTTGCATATCCATACCATTAAGGATCTCTAATTGTTCTCCTCATTCTACCATTGGAAATACAACAACTATGATCAACTCTTACATCTTTATCAACTAACTTTTCTTCAACATGATTGTTGAATTTATCATCCTTTAGCAAGTCAGACACTACTAGTTGCCACCTCAATGTTTGCCTTTGCACTAACACAGCTACTCTCAACAATCAATCTTTGCTCAATGTATACAAAATACCCACGCTTTAGCACCTGGCACAACAGCCCCTTGTGTAGCAACAAGTATCAGTTTGACTTGGGGAGGTGAAAATTTAGTAGCAGGAAGTAAATTTGCTTTGTTACATATAGTGAAAACTATGTATGGGATTAATCTCTCTTATGTTAAATATACACATAGGGTTTTCTATTTATAATAGAAGAAATATGGGTTAAGACCAAAATACAAATTAGAAATAATAACAAACTAACTAAAGATAAAAGATAAAGATTAAATAAACATAATATATCTAACACTCCCCCTCAAGCATGTGCATACAAATCGTATGTGTCAACCTTGTTACTAATATAATCAATAGACTTAGCGAAAGTATCTGTTTCTGCACTCAAGTGACACCAAATTGTTAATGATTTGCGAAGACGACATAAAAGACGAAATACCAACCCAAAAGACACCCCCTGAGCAACAAATCTGGGAGGTTGCTTCATGTAAATCTCTTCTTGCAAATCGTCGTAGAGGAATGCATTGTTGACATCCAATGGATAAAGAAGTCATTGTTGAAGAGTCACCACGACTATAAATAAACTAACAAGAGCTATCTTTGCCATGGGAGAAAAAGCATATATGAACGGGTCACACGCAATGGTGACAAAACAAAGGTCAAAAGAGACAACAGCAAAAGAAGCCATTAATGAACAGGAGAGAGAAACCTTAAAATTCCAAGATTCTCCAATCAAGACACCTGAAAAAGGAAAAAGAGCAACATCAATGCTCTGAATAGTTGCTTGAGAGAAGACGAGTGGTGCAACCATGCATGATGAACCTGAAAGAGGAAAAAAATGCCATCGACACTCTAAATCGTTGTCTAAGAGGAGACGAGACGTGCCACCATGCACGACGGACAAAAGGATCAGATCCACAACTTCAAAAGGCACTGAAAGCTCGTAAGAGCTCCAAGGAAGGCGTTGTTGACGACACGGTGGTCACCTAACCGAGACAATAAAAATTCTATGATCGTCGCTCGAAACTGAAACTTCGGTAATGGTAGCGGTAGACGACAACAATAAAAAACAACAGTAGACGACAATGCCACCGACAGCGGTAGATGGCACCACTGGCGACAGCGACGAGTGTAGTGGCAGAGGCAGCAAATTTTTTCTTTTAAAAGAACCTTAGGCTCTAGATATCATGTTAAGAAGTGGACTTTAAGCTTAACTCAACCCCATAAAACCGACTTATAAGGTGAGGTTTGCATCCACTTATATATTATAAATTGGCCTTGTCTCTAGTCGATGTGAGACATCAGCCCCCTCACGTTGAGGTATATACATCTCGAGTGTGAAGCAAGACATTAATGGGTGGTCTGATAGTGGCCCGATAGTGGGTGGAACAATATCCCTAGGATAGGCTCTAACATAACTGAGGTTTACACTCACTTATATATCATAAATTAACCTTAATATTTATGATACATTAATGGGAGGTCCGATAGTCGATGTGAGACTTCCAACACACCCTCTCACATTGAGGTATATACATCTCTAGCGTGAAGCTAGACATTAATGGGAGGTCCGATAGCGGATGGAACAATATTGCTATGATAGCGTTGTTGTCTACCGCTATCACTACCGAAGTTCTAGTTTCGACTGGCGATCACACAGTTTCATCGTCCCGGACAGGCAACCAACGTGCCATCAGACACCTTCATCAGAGCTCTTATGCGCTCTTAGGGCCTTTTGAAGTTGTGGATTTGCTTCCTTTTCCATCATGTATGGTGGCATGTCTCATCTCCACTCAAACAACTATTCAGAGCATAAAGGTTGCTCTTTTTCCTTTTTCAGGTGCCTTGATTGGAGAATCTTGGATTTTTAAGGTTTCTCTCTCGTGTTCATCCATGGCTTCTTCTGTTGTTGTCTCTTCTTCCCTTCTATCACCATTACGTTTGACCCATCTATATATGTTTTTTCTCTCGTGGCAAAGATGACTTTTATTAGTTTATTTATAGCTGTGGTGGCTCTTCAACAATGACCTCTTTATCTACTGGATGACGATAATGCATTCCCTAACAACGATTTGTAAGAAGTGATTTATGTGGAGCAACCTCTTAGATTTGTTGCTCAGGGGGAAGTCTTTCAGGTTGGTATTTCATCTTCTATGTCGTGTTCGCAAATCATTAACAATTTGGTCAATTTAGTGTCATTCGAGTGCAGAAACAAATATTTTCGCTAAGTCTATTGATTATATTAGTAGCAAGCTTGGTACATACGATTTGTGTGCAGAAGTTTGAGGGGAAGTATTATTAGATATATTATGTTTATCTTACTTTTTATCTTTAGCTAGTTTGTTATTATTTCTTATTTGTATTTTGGGCTTAGCTCATATTTATTCTATTGTAAATAAAATACTTTATGTGTATATTCAACACAAGAGAGATTAACCTCATACATTGTTTTTACTATATTCAACATGAACTAAAGATAAGATAAACATAATATATCTAACAATACTCATGCATTTACAATTCATGTAACAGTATTGATACTCGTAAAGGGTGTGAAATTTCATCATGTTCAATGAAAAATAAAGAAACAGCTACCACTCAAACACCACAAAGACAAGAACAAAAATAAAGGATCAAGAAGAAAACAAATCAAACACAAAAGAGTTCAATGTGGTTTGATTATAGCATTAACAAAGTTTACCACTCAAACATTACTAAATCAAGAACAACGAAAGTTCACTCACACTCAACAACTCATCTCCAAGCTTTTACATAAGGTGCCTATTTATACAACACAATAACAACTAACTTCTCATAAATCAGATTGTGTATCATCCAACAAAATTTGTGGCACATGAAACATGTGCGTCATGCTCAGCCCAAGATGCAAAAATACATTGGACACTCTACATAACAGTAGACGTAGCTAGGGCACAAAATGCTCTTCTATTAGACAAGTCTTCAATAGGAGCTTCATTAGATGACATGCCTTTTCCTAGTAGGTGAGAAGCTACTGCTAGACAAACCTTTCTCAATTGGATGAGATGCTCGGTAACCTTACACACTAAGGCAATAAGATTTTATTGGACCAATTTTTAACAAAATGAGTTATAAGAAAATGATACAACCCTATCTAACAACATTCATATGACAATCAAGAATAAGAAGAAGCATAATAAATGCACAATTCTACACTTTAGTGAGGAAACTATTTCATGCATTTTTATCATATTAAGAAAATGTCACTAACCTAATAATTGTAGTTTTGCCTACTCCTGGAGGTCCAATCAACAACAAAGAAGCCCCATCCTTAATCAAATCTTGCAACAACATAGCACTCCCTGAAATTGCCCTGCCAGCTCGACAAGTTAGACCAATAATTGTGCCCTTGCGATTTCTGATAGCACTAATTCGATGCAATGTTCTGCTGATTCCTGCTCGATTATCAATAGCAAAGTCACCAACCTGCGAGATATCCCTCTCATGAATTGACAATTATAAATAATTATATCTTTCAATGATCAATTTAAGGGTTATGGTTCTGGCCCAATCCAAAAATCCCATCTCTTTCACATTCCACATTTGTGCTTCTAAGCAATAATGGATTATTACATTTTTATACATTGAGCACTGTCACCACAGCTTGAACTTACAGATTTTCCATCAAATTCATACATCCTAACTACTCCAAAGGGAACATAAGAGGATTATAACCTCAGTCTACGATTAACTAAATGTTGAGCTATAGTTGCACAAGCGCAAGCACTTGCCCATGAACATTTTGTTCATCTTCTTTTCTTCAAGAACATGACAATGCCACTATCTCGTTCTGAGTCAACTTGTGAAGAAAAATATATTTTCTAAGTAGTCAAGTATTACTCACATAGACATTTTATTGCACAATTATTATAGACTTTTAACTAAGTACTTAAAAGAGAAGATATTAAAAAGAGTTGAAAGAGATCACATAAATCAAATTTCTCAGATACACAAGCTAATTCTCAGATACACGAGTTCAAATAAAAATTAAGAGTAGTTATATAAGTGTACTGTTACAAATACACAAGCTAATTTTAGCTTAGTGAAAAACTAGCTTCAAATTTTGTCATATGTTTTTTTTCCTGAAAATATTTATGGTTAAGTTCATCCAAACAAATACATTTATAAGAGAAAGAGTATAGGGATAAGGTTAATTAATGGCCTATTTATTGTTGCAATACCTGAGCAGTGGCGTGTTCGATATCCTGAACCGTGATAGGATACTCCGATATCACGAAATCCCCGGAGGGAAACCTCGCGAGCGGTTTCCGGCCCAAATCCATCACAACCTCAATAAGCTGCGGCAGCTCCGCGTGGTCACTCACGCGACGCCGCATCTCCTCCGGAAGCAGAGAGAGCAGCCGCCCCAGCTCCACGTCCGGCTCATCCTCCGGGAAAACCGAACCGGACAAGACTGGGAAACTGGCGCGCAGACCGGGGCCGATTCGGGGCCGAGGGACAGAGGGAACGACGGGCGGGTAGAATGGCTTGGGCGAAATCGGGCTGGGAAGGGGCGGTTGCTGGGAAAGGTGTTGGCAGCATCGAAGCTGAAACGGAAGAGTGAACCCTAGCATCGGTTTTGGCGGGAACCGTGGATTGGTGTTGTGTTGTGGTGGCGATTTCTGAGAGAAAGTGTTATGTAATTTCCGTTTTTCGATGAGGCAATATTTTTTCCCGGGTTTGTGGAGCAGAGGTGGAGGATTTCAATTGCCAGCGGAACGCAACGTATTTAATTTTGCTTTTTCTTCTTAGTTAGTTTTTTCAGTTTGAAATCAATGGAATGGACAGTGGGCAATGGACATTTTCTTTTTCAAATAAAAATAACATTTTAATCACTATTTATGCAGAATATACTATCATTTTATCCTATTTCGCTACATAATTTGGATTTTATCCTCTTCCAAGATAAGTTTTGTTTAAATACTTTAACCATATATTACGTTCTTAAATAAAAAATAATTAATTTATTATCTTTTTCGATTACCACTCTTATCGTTTTATGGTTTAACAATTAGATTTAAGTTTAATTATTTGTGAGCTTTTTTTGGTGAAAATGGTGAAAATCTAAAATAGGTTCTTTAATTTTTTTTTTCGTCTCAATTGGATCTTGATTGTTACAAAATTGCTCCGATTAAATCTCTGTCATTAAATTGGGTCAACGTTGTTAGAATCTCATTGACGTGATATGCTGATGTTGGTTTTTTAAATGACGTAGACACTTACTTTTAGTGTTCTCTAATTTACAGGTGGTTTGTGCGAGGATGGTTGGTTTTCATGGAGGTTGGGTTTGCGGATTAAGGTTTTTGTGGTGGCCCATGGTGTTTTAGTGGTCGGTGAAGAAGATGAGTGGAAGAGATGGATGTCAGCGTCGCGATTTGGTGAAGAAGACGAAGTTTGTGAGGATGCGTTGTTCTGGGTCACGATTTCTGTGGAGGCTCGCAAATTAGGGTTCCTAGTGCACAGAGATTTGGTGAAGAAGACGAAGTTTATTTAGGTTTCAATTTTGATAATAAATGAACCCTTTTTGACTTAGAAACTTGTTGGTTCTCTTGCTTTTAGATTATTTTTTTGAATAAGAGAGTTGAGGTTATACTTGAGGATTTTATCACTAAATTCTCTTGATTTTGTAGGAAATTGGGATGAATTGGAAGAGGAGTTAAAATATCAAGAAGTTCAAACCTAAAAAGGACAGAAAGAGCACTAGAAGAGAAGGCTGCAGAAGGTTGTAGAACGCTTGGGCGCCCTTTTCTGGAGCCCTCAACGCAGGATGTCTCACACCCACACCTAAGCGCCCTTTCAGGGACGCTGAGCGCCAGTCTTCAAGTATGTTTCACGCCTAGGCGTCCTTCCTAGGGCGCTGAGCGCCACTTCTCTCGCAAGTTCGCCTGGGCGCCTTAAGTAGGGGCGCTAAGCGTTGGCGACGTTGGCCCATGATCCAATTTAGTTTTATATAAGGACTTGCACGTCTTAGAGGGGGTATCTTTTGACAGAAGGACGCAAATTCAGACTTTTTCAGTTCTCTGAAAGTAGAATTGGATGCGGAAGCTCTCTTTTTCGGTTTCTAGGGTCTATCTTTCATTCTCATTCCATTGTACATCTAGTTTCTCCATGAAAAGGGGGAACTAAATTCATTTGTTGTTGGGGAAGATGTAACCTCTAAACTCTCATGTATTTGAATTGATTCCAATTTATATATGCTTCTTTCATTAATTGTTAGGGTTATTCTCCTTTGATCTATGCTTGTTATGTTTAACTCATTCATGGCATGACTTTTGGTTTTCTTTGTTATTGACATAGGGATAGAACGCTTGGCTGTCTTAAGTTCCGTTCGTAATGCAAAATTAATTATTAGGTGTTAGAATCGCTGCAACGAAATTATTAGCGTGGAAACAAACCAAGAGGGGGGTGAATTGGTTATATACTTTTATTATGCCTTTTATTATTTTTCTCTTAATTTTTCTTACTGAGCAGATAATTAAATATAAATGACAGAGTAAGGGAAAGAGAAAAATTGCACAGGTGATTTTATCCTGGTTCAGATCACTCGGATCCTACGTCCAGTCGCTTATCTCAAACAAGATAAACCTTTTTCACTAACACAAAACAGTTACAAATATTAATCACAAAGAAAAACAATTTGTAAGAGTTTAGAAATACCACCTCTCTTGAAACCACAAGAGACGAACTTACACTTCCTTTGAATCTTCACAAAGGATGATACCACCTCTCTTGAAACCACAAGAGACGAACTTACACTTCCTTTGAATCTTCACAAAGGATGACCACCTCCTTCGAATGCTTCACGAAGGATGATTCTCTTCCAGGCACTTCCTCGGACACACCAAGGATGAACAAGCTATTCCTCTGTCACCGCAGTAGCACTTCAGGACTTTGCAGACAAGAGTTTCCTTAGCTTCAACAATCTCACAGAGTTCTCAAAGAGTTCAGAGATCTTTTGCACAAGGAAAGAGTTATGTTTGAGATAAAGAGTGAGCCATTTTATAGACTCAGCCTAATACCCTTCCATTCTTCGAAAACGGGTCATCTAACTCATTTAATCGATTAACATAAATATTAATCGATTAATAATGAGTACAACGGCTAGTTTTTCAAATCTGAAACCCCCAACGGCTAGTTTTTCAAATCTGAAACCCCCAACGGCTAGTTTTTCAAATCTGAAACCCCTAACGGCTAGTGTTAATTGATTATTCTCAAGAATAATCGATTAACTAAATAAATCAAATATAAATTACAAGAATCAACCCTAATACATATTTGAGCACTATTACATCAACTTTGATTATTATAAAAGCTTTATAAAATACAGAGATCTTCAATTTGTCTTTGTGGATCTTGACTTGTGCAAATCTGTTCATCATCAAAACTTCATCTTTGATTTTTGCTAACATTAGGGATGCAAGACATTGTGGTCTAGTAATTAAGGATAGGCTTCTTTCACCGAGACATCGGGTTCTAAGTTATTTAGAAAGTGACATTGACAATTAATAAAGAAGAAGAATTCTTATATGCATGAGAATGATTAGGTGAAATCTAAACCCCAACAACATCTTCATCTCATAATACCAATATCATCATTCAATTTTGCGTTTCTCTTCAATTGATCAAAAATTGCATTCATATTTACTTTCTTGTTTTTACATTTAAAAATCCTAAATTGTTCTTCAAAGTCTTAATTTGTTAAGTAATTGCATGACTGTTTGGTGTCGTGAGTATCTTGGGAAACAATACTTGGTCTTACCATTTATTATTACTTGATACGATTTGGTACACTTGTCGAAGTCTTAACAATAATTTGCACCTTTGAACAATTTAATTCAGCATAAGCAAGTCAAAACTCATGTTACTTCTATATCAAGCTCTAGATCTTAATTCAATTGCCTTTTTCTTTCATTTTCACATCTGTTGTGGTATCTCAGAAGCTTGCCTTTTAAACCAACCAATTCAGACTTTATAGAACAACTTTTAAACACCAAAAGTGTAATGACAGATTTCAAACTCGAAAGGAATGAATTAGAAGACCAAACAGCAAAGACTCTAGGAATTAATGATGTTAGAAACTTAGTAATGATCTAATACTAAGTATAAAAGACACACACTCAAAAAGAGATTCAAAGCTAAGCCAACTTCAGTGTAATTGGCATAAGAGAAACTTATGTTGTTGTAGGCATCTTGCACCCAAGCTCAATGCAACATTTCATAGCTTGATTGGTGTGCATTTGCTATCCACGAGCAGATTCAACTTTGAGCTCACAGAATTTAACAATGTAACACAAATGACATGTAATTAACAACATCAAAACTCAAGACAACTTCAAACCAATGAATGGAAAGCAAAAATGTTCTTGAAGTCTGTCATTAAGCTCATTGAAATGAATGTCATAACTTATGATGATTGACAGAGCTTACTCAAAGCAGGAAACTCAATTGAATCACAATTAAACTCATATTTGAATGACAATACAAACAATGCACAAAACTATTAACAAGACAGGATATGATTTAGAAATAAAAAGACTCAAACAAATTGAAAGCACCGAATAAAATGAGAATAAAACTCAATATAATGACCCAAGCACAGTCAATGAAAGTGATCAAAAGGAGGTAGATCGAAACGGTTAGGGATTGAGCAAAGAGAATCTGAGCAGCGAAAGGTGTTTGAGTGATGCAAATGATGAGAAAATGAGAGTGAAAAAGTGATTCTATGAGGAAAAGATGCTTATTGTGAAGAACTCTCGAGAGATAGTGAAATGCATTTCTACAATGAATAAAATGTGAGAAATGAAGTGTTTCTCTAATGCATGAGAGAAACAATGCAAAAATGAAAGTTGACGCATGAGTAAGTGTTCAGGATGTGGCCATGGAGAACGCTGACATGTGCAAAGAAGTGGTTGTTGATGAGTGGTTTGCGTGGAGGAAAGAGAAGCACCATGGAAATTAATGGAGAAAAGAAAATGGATGAGTGTGCTTGGAAGGTGGCTAGAAGAGGATCCCTAGGATTCTCTAGCTTGACTTTCAAGAGAGAATTAATTCTGGCTGTCAAAAAATTTAATTCTCATTATGCTCAAAAGTGTTTGATACAAGGGGTGGAAATGGGTATTTATAGGGACTCATGCTCCTATGAAAGCTGAAAACATATACAATAACATAAAATAGACAATAAAAGTAATGGTTTAAGAATGTTTAAAGAATGAATAAGAAACTTAAAAACAGTTATGATGAAATAGGCTAATTCCACTGCTTTTCCAAGATAGATTCATCATCGGTTATTCGGATAATTGTTCAATTGATTATTGTTTAAGTTTCAAATTAATTAAAGTACATTCTTAATTAATTCGAGGGCGATCATGCATTTAACCAAAGTAAATTCTCAATCAAATGCAAAACCTTTCTAGATTATTCACAATAAATTCAACCAAAGTACATTCTCAATCAAATTCTATTGTGTTTAATCATGTCTATTCTTAAATCTCCTAACCAAATTAAAAGCTAATCAATCAAAGTAAATTCTCAATTGATTATAATTGAAATTAAAACTACTCAATCAAAGTACATTCTCAATTGATAGTAAAAATCATTTAATCATATGAAAGTTCCTAAATTAAATCAAAGTAGATTCTCAATTTAAACCTAGAAACCCTAAAACTCATATAATCAATATGCATGTAGATTCAAGCATATTATGATGCAAAAATCTTTGCTTTTAACAAGATAGAGAGATGA